CTGATCGTTGCCGACCAAGTGCTTCCTGTGCTGTGCACGACTGCCACGCCCTAAGCTTCCTAGTGCTGTGAATACTTCGTTTATGGTGATTATTAACGGAGATATGGCTACCCATAGGCCCCTAAGTAGTTCCTTTTTGGGATTACCTTATAGGATTCTAAATATAACCATAACAACGAACTACTTCGGGGCCTATAGGGAGTTATGGTTTTGGCCGATATCAGGATTTGGAGTGCATTCTCCCGCTGCGGAGGCTCAGACTTAAGCTTTCACGGCCATGCTTGATTCGGCAGCACTCGCCACCAGCACAGGGTTTAGGGTTTAGGACGCGCCTGCTCTCTTGACTCTTGCAACAATGTTGTTCTTGTTGCTGCTGCAACCTTAAACCATCCCTTGACCCCAAAGGCCCTAGATCCGCACAGAACCGCCAACTCTAAACCCCTAAACCCTATACTTTCATCACCGGCAAGGCTCACGCAGGCGGCAGAGTATTTCTGCACTCCACGCACATAGGCCACGGCTGCACGTGCCGTAAGGTGGGGGTCCTGCATGCAAGGGTCTTTGGAAAGGTAGCCTGAACCCAAACCCTAAACTTGACCACTGTAAACCATGAACCCCCTAAGCCCTAAACCCGAAGTTAAGAGGGTATAGGGTTCGAGGGTTTAGGTTTTGGGGTTCCATCAGGAGGTAGGGTTTGGGGCTAGGGTTTCGGGCTTAGGGTTTGGATGATCTGGATGGATTTGAGGCTTACCTATAGTCTCCATTGTAGTTCCTTTTTGGGGTTACCTTTTAGGATCCTAAATATAGAATTGGTTAAACCAAAAAAAGGAACTACAATGGAGACTGTAGGCAGGGTTTAGGGCTCGTTTGAGGCTAAGGGCTCAGCCAACGTCCAGGCCTCTGAGAAGCACTCGAAATGTCGGCCAGTGATCGGGGTCCTTCCGCAAGCCAGAGTGACGCAACAAGTAGGGTTTAGGGCTTAGTAGGGTTTAGCAGGGTTTAGGGTTTAGTAGGGTTCAGGGTTTAGTAGGGTTTAGTAGGGTTTAGGGTTTAGTAGGGTTATTTGGTTTAGGGTAGACATACCCTAAAACCTACACAAGGTGCAGTAGCACGACATCGCGATCGTAGACTTTGCAGCCCTCAACGACCATGCCTCGACCTCCTAGTCGAGCCAAAAAAGACCTACGGCTTACCCCATAGGCTCCTAAGTAGTTACCTTATAGGATTCTAAATATAAACCACAAACAGGAACTACTTAGGAGCCTACGGCTTAGAGTGCCCAGGTTTCGCCCATCAGCACACTTAGACGCAGAGCTTCACGGAACCCTTAAACTTAAAGAAAAGGAGCCCTTCTAGGAACCCTAAGAGGATTCCTTCGAGAAACCCCTACAGGAACCCTTAAAAAACTTAAACGAACCTCCTTGGAGGAACCCTTCAAGGAATCCTTTAAAAGGAACCCCTAACGGAATCCGTAAAGGAACCCCCTTGGAGGACCCCCTTTTAGGGCCACCCCGTAGAGGTCCGATGGATATTCAGAGTCGGCCCAAGAAGGACGTTGGCGCCGCGAGCCACGCACTCCTGGAAAAGCACAGCAACTCCCTTAAAGAAACCTCCTCCAAGGACCCCACTTTTAAAGGAACCCGTCTGGGAACCCTGAAAAGAGCCCTAAAGCCTAAAGCCTAAACCCTGAAAAGAGCCCTAAACCTTCAAGAACCCCTAAACCGAAATGTGCCGTAAAGGACCCCTTTAAGGGGGCTCTTCCTCCCGATCTCATAGTATGGAAGTCCGACCGATTTGAAACCTCTTTCTAACATATGCCTTAGCTGAACCCCAAATAACCTAACTTCTTAAGTACCTTGATACGAAGAAAGCATAACAAGGAGCCCTAAAAAGGTAGGTTCTTTGGGGTCCAGGTAGTGCCTCAGTGGGCTCCTTGTTATAACTGTAGTGCAATATTGCAACATACGCCAAAACCCACCCCTCATACAATCGCTGCATCTGACAACCCTAAACGCTAAACCCTATAAATGCGAAATGATCATCTCGAAACTCTTAGCCCTGAACTCGGGGTGTTCTAAACTCTAAACCCTTACAGGCCCTTCGGCGGAACCTGGCATTCACAGCCTGGAGCCTGAACAGCTTGGGGTCTTTGGATTTAGGCATGGTGCGGTGTTAGGGCAGGGCGAAGCGCCCAAGGCATTAGGGTTTAAGTTTGAAGTTTGCGGTTTGGGTTTAGGGTCATTTAGGGCTTAGGGTTGTGCAGGGTTTAGGGCTTGGGGCTGAGGCTTTGACTTTCGTCTAGGTTTCCCTACTATGACTTCCTTTTTTTTATTGCTCCCCTTATCACTAATGCTAGCTATGACGATTATCGCTGCTGTTGCCAATCACGACTATTACTATGATCTACTTGATGTTGTTGTTGTTGTTGTCGTCGTCGTTGTTGGTGGTGGTGGTACAGACAAAAGCAGCAGCCCGTAATTTATGCTATTTGCAACAATTGGGAATGCTTCCGGTGACTGCATAGGGTGCCTGCAGAGTTTTGGAATGCAAGCCATGGCTTACACAGCATCTTGATAGAAAAGATATTGGAAGGATGCCGGGTTTTACGTGATATTGAAGGGCTTCAGTGGGATTGGAGAGGCTTCACCTAGTGGGATTCTGAAGGTTTTTGATGAGATTTTGAGGGGTGGGGGTTGGAAGGGTTTTGATGGTGTTTAGGATGGTCTTAAAACAGCTGAAGCCCAAACATAAGCCCAAAAAATCTCAAGACCAGAAGACTGCAAGTTCTTAAGCCTAGATGCCCGCGAATCCTGGACACCTACTGTACGCGCCTTGACAAACGGGAATCCTCTGCAAATCATCCGAAATCACCGGCAATCCTCTGCAGATCGTTATACATCGATTGAAAATCCTTGGAAATCCCTTGCAGATCCTTCAAACCCTGTACACTACCATAACCAATGTGTTGTTATTGGGGGGGTAAGATGATATGATGTGGGCTCCTATTTTTGTCTCTACCCAACGTACAGACAAAAACACAGACATATCGGTTGCCGGGGCTGCAGCTTTTGTTTGTACCTTCTTATTGTTGTTGTTGTTGTTGCCTTTGTGGGTTCCCTCTACCACGCCCTTAAGGTCCTCTCCCAAGATCTCGCCGACCTCCTGAATCACCTCCTGCGAAAAGCGGGGTGTTGGGGTTTAGTTTTAAGGGCTGGGGTATAGGGGTTTAGGCCCGTTTAGGGCTTAGGCTTAGAGTCTCGGGTTGTGTTAAAGGGCTTTCAGGATTTATAGTTGCAAAGATTCAAGGTTCGATCCCTTCTTGGGGTCTCAGGGTGTCAGGGCTCAAAAACCGGGCCATTGCTGCACTTTCTACTGCCGCCGACTTCTGTTGTACCGAGGGCTGAGCGCCGAAGCCCGTGGCTGCGGAAGTCCAGCACCTATGCTTCTGCATCCATCCGCGCTGCCGTTAGAACTGCGGCGAACCTCAGCCCCTGATGTATCCTGAGAAAAGAGTACAACTGTATAGTTCTCAACGAAAAGGCCCGAAAGTCTCAAACCCCAAACCCGGAGCCTAAAGCCTGAAATCCCTTTCCCCTGAACCCTAACCCTCTTAACGTACCCCAAAAGCCCTAAGCCCTGAAATCCTGAACAGTGCTGGCTCCTCGTTGAAGGTCGCGGCCAGGGCTGACAAGCACCTTCTTGAAGGACCAGGGGCTCAATTAATAACAGGCCGTGAGTGTCATTTCATTAGCATCGTCGTTCATATCATGTTAATTGTTGACACTATTAATGTTGAGATTGCTATTCGTGTTTGTTGTTGTTGTTGTTGTTGCTGCTGCTGCTGCTGGTGGTCGTGGTGGTGGTGAAGGTGGTGGTGGTGGTGCTGGCGGCGGCGTTGTGCCTATGGTTGCAATGCTTGCAAAGTTGCGAATAAATCACTCCTGGTTGCAAAGTTATCATGACTCCTCTTGCTGCAATCATTAGCATGATGGCTACGCTTACCTAATAATTAGAATCGGGTCTTGGGGCTACCAGTAAACCGCCGGCACTTAGAACTTAGGACCTAAAGACTATGCAGTTTTGGGGAATCCGGAAGTACAGCGGGCCACGGAGGGGAAGGAGGGTTTTGGAATAGGGGGTGGGGATCAGCCTTTCCCTACGCCCTACACCCCTTGCAATGCAGCGTGCAAGACTGCATCCTAAACAAACTGTCCATGAACACTGAACACCACAAGCGAGCAACTTCAGCGAAACCCGAGGAAGTCCAACACTACTGGTGATCAGCTCATCACTTCAGGATTATGATGGACGATATACATCAGGTGCGGCAAAACTTTGCTAGATGAGCAGAGAATAATATCAAGGCTACACCACTGACCCTAAGCCCTACGACCCCCGGAACATCCCAGAAGCTCCTCTTGCCCATTTGGCAGCCAAGTAGCCAGGTACAAGCAACTTTCTGTACAAGGTTTGTCGCAAGGCTTGTCTGTACAAGGCTACAGATGCACAATTATGGGAGACTTCCTGTGGTTGCCCGGCGTATCGTCGTAGACTGCCTGCATGGCAGCCGCAGCCCGAAGAAAATCAGGCTGCCTGCGGCACACTCATCGGCGCCGCACCACAACCAGATTGTCCTCTAGTCCCTTGCGCCGTCCCATTCCGGCACCCTTCACTCCGCTTCTCTGCCACTTCAGGGGGTTCCACTCGGATTACAATAGGAGTGGAAGTAGCAGCTTTCGGCGAAGCTTGTCTATACTGCGGACTCCTAGCATCTCGATGCGACGGGCACTGGACCGTTTCAACCTGCCTTGTTGTAATGTTGTAGTCAATGACTACTGGTGGCGTCAGGGCATGCTTGCGGCTTCCAGTTTTGTGTTTCATGCCTGGCTTCTCATTCGCTGCGTTTACGAAGTGGCTGTAAAGGCCGCCCCGTCTTCGCAGAGGAACGCACCCACGGCCATAGTGAACGTGCCCGAAGCAGCAAAGAGGAATGTGAGCCTTCAGCACGGCTCGGGTGAGCGCTTCGGAGCCTTGCCATGCCCCAGGCTCCAGATCCGATGGAAGAGCCTTGCTAGGCAGCTGGGGGTGGTGATGGGCCACCATGACATCAACTGGTCAACCACAAAGATCTCCTTGTAGGGCAGCGAGTTGAGCCAGCGAATGCAGCTACGAACATGCTCTACATTCCCTCGGTCTGCCATGTCACCGCAATGGACTAACACATCCCCCGCGGGCATTTTCAAGGTTTCGTGCAAGCCGTGCGTATCCGATACGACGATGATGCGAACCATGCTGTTGATCGAGTCTGTCCCGTTGGCAGTTGCAGCGCTTTTGCCAAGGAGAGACGTCTCCCTCGTTTGCTCATCTATCCTTTTGTATGCCACATCAGCCATGTTTTTCAGGGGGCTTATGTCGAATGGGGCAGGCGTCTTCCGTCTTGCTACTTGCATCGAAAACTCCTAAACTACAGGTGTACATACATGTGTCTATAGACATATGAGATGTAGTGTGTGATAGGGTCATTACATATAATCCCAAATATACAGACACACACATTTCTGCAGCTTGCGCGGAGTGATAGGAGAACCGGAAAGGCACTGCGTCGAGCAATCTAGAGGCAGAAGGGTGAGCAACGAGGTAGGGTGCAGGGTTTAGGGTTTAGGGGTTTAGGGTTAGGGGCTTAGGGGTTTAGGGTTTAGGGGATTTAGGGTAGGGGCTTAGGGTTTAGGGTTAGGTTCAAGGCATTGCTTCGGCTTCAAGCACTCTGCAGGTCCATACTCTTCTGGGAAGCCCAGGCGCGGCCTATGACCCGTCAACCCCAAAGCCTAAACCCTCAATCTAGAGGCAGAAGGGGGAGCAACGAGGTAGGGTGCAGGGTCTAGGTGCTGAAGCAGAGCATCTCCAGTTA